AACATGGTTATCAATTTTTTTTTACTGTTGCTGCTGATGATAGTATCTGGTTGATATATATATAATCAACGAAAATATCTACATTGCACGGAGAAATGTGGTCTGTTGTTAATCAAAGAAATATGTTTAGGTGTAGCTTTAATGTATGGTTGAACAATAGCCCACTACCGCGACATTTCATTTTTAGTTCATTTAAAGCGGAAATGCACAAAGGTACCTAATAGATGAAGTCTTGTCGAGAGTGATCCAAGGAGAGGGATCAGTAGGGTGGAAAGAGAACAGCACCAGAAGTGGTCACTGGTTTCCTTGGGGGGGGGGGGGATAAGTGAAAAAGATTAAGGTGAGTCACTGCAGTCAAATATTTGTCCTGGGGCTTTGCTTCCATAACATTGTCTTCTTTCTGACTAGTGGAAAAAACCATCAGATGCTCAATTAAGGTGTTTATTTTGCAACAGTACATCGTTCTGTGTCCTTAACTTACCAAAAGTTAGCATTAATAATGCCTGACTATTATTAATAGATAACTTCCATTTAGGATAATTATGATGGAGCCATAGGCATAAGGCCAAACACAGGGTTACCTGGATGTAGTTTGTTGTAGAGAGACACCAGGGAGGAGTGGATGAACTCTCCATACATGTGTGCAGGCTGGCCCTCCATCCCTGATTGGTGGGAGGAGGGACGCTGTGGTCGCTCCTCTCTGCTCCGGCCCCACAGCACCACCTGCAGCACACAACATCAGGCCACATCATTCCTTATCGTTTGTAGATTTAATATTAAAGGTGGGTATGTAATTTATTTCAGAAACAGTTTTGTTATATTCCATGGAATGCTCTAAACACCCCGATAGCAATGAATATATGAATGCTTTGACAATAAAACATAACAATTTTTAAATCTGTGAAGCCGTGGCGCTGTAAAAAGCACAAGCAATATTTTTAACCGGCCCCGGCTAAAATAATGTGGATGGCCTACCTGTCCTGTCAGCCTTCGCATCTGTGCACAACTTATCTCGTGCCCTCATTGGTCATGTGCGCGTTCGTGTGTCCCGGATGAGAGGGCTCTGTAAGGAAGTGGACAGATTTGTTCCGGTTGTGTATTTTTCAAATTCAGCGCCACTCGAGCTGGTTTCTCCAAAAATGACATACCCAACCTTTAGTGCTTTTTCTTTGGTTTCCTAATTTTGATTAAACCTTGTGTGTTGCTGTTTTTGGTGGAATGGTAAGGATTTGCATATTGTGCTATATAATTATCACTCTTTCACTCTGGAGATCATAAGGCAATATAGATTAGTAAATTACCATGAATCGAGCCATTTATTTACCATATTTTGAAACATCTCTGAAACTCTAATAAAGTCCATATTGCTAGCTTACTATAAAAGTCCAATTCGACCGATTGGCTGAGCATATATTTTTTTCCAAAAAATAATTACCCTTGTTAAAACTTTTTTTGTGCATAAGTTATCTAATATGTTCAGTCAATGCCCTGCCACTAAAATATGTCAAAAATGATATGGTTACCTTACAAAGTTGACCAAAAAGAGTGATTCTTTCAGCAGTGATTTTTAGCATGCCACTTTCTCAGTTGAAGCTAGCTGAAGGGCATTCTGTTTGAACCACAGTGACATCTAGAGGTTGTTTTGTGCATAATATGTCAACCAAAGGGTAAGAGCTGGCTGAATCAGATGGAAGGTTCAACTTTTTTTTTTTTTTTCAACAAGATATCATGACCGCCGAAATGTGCTCTACCAAATGGTGTTGTGCTGGCAGTTAAAGGGTGAGCCTCCTCTGTCCTCCACTTGTTAACTGTATTAATGGCACCTGTTTGAACTCGTAATCAGTATAAAAGACACCTGTCCCCAACCTCAAACAGTCCACACTCCAAACTCCACTATGGCCAAGACCAAAGAGCTGTCCAAAGGACACCAGAAACAAAATTGTAAACCTGCCACCAGGCTGGGAAGACTGAATCTGCAATAGGTAAGCAGCTTGGTGTGAAGAAATCAACTGTGGGAGCAATTTATTAGAAAATGAAAGACATACCAGACACTGATAATCTCCCTCGATCTGGGGCTCCACGTAAGATCTCACCCCGTCGGGTTCAAAAAGGATCACAAGAACGGTGAACAAAAATCCCAGAACCACACGGGGGGACCTAGTCAATGACCTGCAGAGAGCTGGGACCAAAGTAACAAAGGCTACCATAAGTAACACACTACTCCGCCAGGGACTCAAATCCTGCAGTGCCAGTACACTGCCTTAAGCCAGTACATGTCCAGGCCCGTCTGAAGTTTGCTAGAGAGCACTTAGATGATCCAGAAGAGGATTGGGAGAATGTCATATGGTGAGATGAAACCAAAATAGAACTTTTTGGTAAAAACTCAACTAGACGTGTTTGGAGGAGAAAGAATGCTGAGTTGCATCCAAAGAACACCATACCTACTGTGAAACATGGGGGTGGAAACATCATGCTTTAGGGCTGTTTTTCTGCAAAGGGACCAGGACGACTGATCCGTGTAAAGGAAAGAATGAATGGGGCCATGTATCGTGAGATTTTGAGTGACAACCTCCTTCCATCAGCAAGGGCATTGAAGATGAAACGTGGCTGGGTCTTTCAGCATGACAATGATCCCAAACACACCGCCCGGGCAACGAAGGAGTGGCTTCGTAAGAAGCATTTCAAGGTCCTGGAGTGGCCTAGCCAGTCTCCAGATCTCAACCCCATAGAAAATCTTTGGAGGGAGTTGAAAGTCTGTGTCACCCAGCGACAGCCCCAAAACATCACTGCTCTAGAGGAGGTCTGCATGGAGGAATGGGCCAAAATACCAGCAACAGTGTGTGAAAACCTTGTGAAGACTTAGAGAAAACGTTTGACCTCTGTCATTGCCAACAAAGGGTATATAACAAAGTATTGAGATGAACTTTTGTTATTGACCAAATACTTATTTTCCACCATAATTCGCAAATAAATTCTTTAAAAATCAGACAATGTGATTTTCTGGATTTTTTTCTTCTAATTTTGTCTCTCATAATTGAGGTATACCTAGGATGAAAATTACAGGCCTCTCTCATCTTTTTAAGTGGGAGAACTTGCACAATTGGTGGCTAGCTAAATACTTTTTTGCCCCACTGTATGTCATATATACATCCAAATCTGACTTTTCACAAATTCAGATCTTTCTTCAATCGGATTTTAATATCTTACAGGACTGGCTATCACACAATAAACTACTGCTCAACAAAACAAAATCTTATACCATGGTCTTTGGTACCAGGCAGAAGCTCAAATCCAAACCTAACGTAGTAATAAAATGTAGTAAAAAACTTCTCTGCATAAAGTTGATAGCTTTAAATATCTTGGTGCATGGCTAGACTCAGAACTTTCATTTAAACTACATATAAAGCATGTAATACAAAAAGTAAATTACGGAATCGGTGTCTTACACCGCTCTCGCAATTGTTTTACGCTCAGTGTCTGTAAGAGAATTGCTTCTCAACTTATTCTTCTGATTATGGACTATTGTGATGTTTTCTACCAAAATGCACATAAATCAGATCTTGCTCCACTCAACATAGCCTACAACAGACTATGCAGATTTTTTCTTGGTTGTCCTTTTCGTACACATCACTGCACAATGTATAACCAACTTAAATGGCCTTCATTAAATGTAAGAGGATGTTGTCTTGTTTGTCATGTTTTGCTTTTTGTCTTTTTGTTTATGTATGTCTGTAAGTTGTTGCTATTGTCGGTTGAAAACGAGATGGTGCATCTCAAGGGGTTTATCCCAATAAATAAAATGTCTATAATAATTGCCTTGTGTTGAAAGGTGCTGTATTAATAGCTTGCCTTGCCTCACACTGCTCATGTTAGTGACAGATCTCAACCTGGTGGTCCCAAGATGAATGGAAGTGTTTATCTTGCTGGATAACGAGAAGGGGGATTCAGAGAGGCCAGTCACTCGTCACCGTCTTGAGCTTCAATATCGGGATCCATGTATTTATGATCCTCTCAATAATGGAAGTAGTCATCACATACAGAGCATCAACTAGTTCCTGAACAGGGTCCTTCACAGATGCTCTGTATGTGATGACTACTTCCATTATTGAGAGGATCATAAATACATGGATCCCGATATTGAAGCTCNTGCAGCGGTCTGCTTGCGCACGGAGCAGGAGTTTTATGAGAGAAAATATATTTCTCTGTGCTCAAAAATGTTCAAGTGTGCGCTCAATCGCATTTTCTATGCTCAACATGTTTCATTGCGTGCTCAGGATAGAGGCACAAATATAACGCCATACTCCCGCACCCCTCCTCGACTCTACCGTGTGCATTTCAGCTATTGGGACGTCCTTCGTACATAACGGATTACTATCTTGCCAGAAACTAGCATTACAGATCGGAAGCAGTACAGGTATCTTCCTGCACCACTACCTACCATAATAATGCAGTTTATTATAGATAATATGGCTTATAATTAAAAAAAAGACATTGACAAAGATGAGCTAAAACTGATATTTCCGTCGACTACAGAATGCAGTATTACATAAGTAAGCAGTTAACATGCTGTAAAAATGATCTTTTCGAGGTAGAAAAAAGGACATATTTTAAGATTAAACTGCATTAACACATTTTTGAAAATCAAAAAAGTTTTGTTTTCCACTTTCTGAAGGTTGTTCTCTATTGACAAGGGATGTTGATGTGCTCAAGGGAAACATATTATAACTGGTAGAACAAATAGAAAGAACTGGGAAAAAAAGAACAGTTGTTTTCCTTTAAGAGGTATTTTAGAGAGCCTGTTTTTAAACCAGGGCTCTGGTTAATGCCCCTTCTGGTTTAAATGGTCCCTTGATGGAAATAAACTTGAATGTTGTTTTTAGGATGATTGTCTCATAAGCCAGAATAGTAATAAGCACTAGTCAAATTTCCCAACAGCAGAGACTGTCAGACTGACTTATTTTTGTTGTTGGTAAGCACCTACCTCAACAGTCCTACACACCAAAGGACCTCAACAACACACACACTCGCTCTCTGCTGTGATAATCTTTGATTCTTGTTATTCGCTGTCAGTAAACGCTCACCGGAGGCCTGCTGATGGTTATGATACTGCGCACTACGCTGAATGCTGCAGCAATGTGCCTGTGATTTTCTCAGTAAAAAGAAGTGTCCCTGATATTATCCCTGTTAGACTCTTATCATCCCTCTTCATAAATATTACAGTACACACACATAGCTGGGAGTTTGACTCTCAACCTCATTCCAAAACACAAGTAATGACATAATAGTAAATGTCCACATACCTAAGATGGCGATGACCTCGTCGTCCTGGATGACCTCCAGTGACCCCGACACGACGAAGCACAGGGTGTCCACGCTTTCCCCGGCGTGGAAGATCAGATCCCCCGGGGCGCAGTGTGTGGTCTGAAACTCCACCGCCAGTGAGCGCAGGCAGCCGTCGCTGGCCAGCCGGAACGCTGGATGTTCATTGAACACCTGAAAGAGGGATATTAATACTTTTTTGTCTTTTCTTTAAAAACTGTTGCTAGGGCAGTCAGACTCTGCCCACATGATCACAGCTACATTTCTAAGACTCTTTTTTCTGAAGAAGAGTGAAATAAAAGTTCATTTTGCTGCAGAAACAGAGTAAATGCCGTAGGTAACTTCAATTTGACAACTCTACATTTGTAATTATTTGAACTTGACACCATTTTCTTTTATGACATTTGCAAAATGTTTTTATTGACCTCATTATGGCCATTGAAGCTATGACTTCTGATAGTCATTTTGAATATTTTGTAGCGTACTGTCTAAACATAGGGAACAATGTACATTTTAGTTTTCTTAACAATACAGGTAACATAGTCATACATTGTTTTCTTAACATTCAAGGTCTACAGAAGACAAAAACATTATTCAATTGGGGATTCCATGTTTTTTGATGTGAGTGCAGCATAACCTTTTTTTAGCGACACCCATTTGACAAACTTTAATATTACTATTATTAGCTTCTCCCAATAACAAAATCATCAGTATGAAAAGACTGTTTTAGGCTGAAATATGCTGTCATTTCAAACTGTTAATAAAATAAATCCTGCAGCCTTTCGAACACATCAGGCAACATGCAGGTCTTCCTCTCTACAGTCTAAAAGTGCTTTCTTTCTGCAGGAATAGTCTTTTGCTGGGATCTCTTTATGTGTGCAAAATGAAACACAGCCTCTAAAGTACACAGTGAGATAATCCATCACTGCAACAGTGGAGTCTTCATTTGGTTTGCTTCTCATTTCACCGGGATGAGTTCAGTGTTTTCGTATCAGTGCTTCCTGTCAATTACCTGAAGCTTTCAGGAAGAAATGTAAGACTCCATGAGGAAATAATCCCTCTGTGGCCTTATACACCTCAACCTCCCTGGCTTTATTCAGGACTTTGTTTAGCTGGGGCAGCAGTTTGGCTCTCTTTCAGGAGTCCTACATTGCAGAACAATAAGAGACCAAAACAACTTGAATGCGTCATTGTGCTACTGCAGACACCAGGTTCAGACACCATTTTCTGCTTTAGATTTAAAAGAAAGAGATGTTTTGTAGGACTATTATTTATTTTTTGGATGGAGCGCCATTTGCAGCTGTTTCAACATTTAAAGTTATCTCAAGTCAAGTCTGACCATTTTCAACCAGCGTGCACAGTGATATTAATTTTGTCAGGATACAAAGAAAACATCTTTATTCAAAATTCAGACCAACATTTCTTTCTTTTTGAAACCAAATTATTATCCTATTGCTAGGGTTCTTTATTTTTTAATCATAATTGGGTACTTAACTTACATAAATCAATTAGAAGACTTACTGCTAAACAAGCACCACATTTGCATTTTTGCTTGAATTCTCTCTTATTCTCTCACGCGTTTCTCTGCAAAATATCTCATTTTCATAATTATTTTCATAATTTGGACTGGAGTCAAAGACAACACAAGTAAAATCTCTATTATTATTATTATTATTATTATTGTTATTATTATTATTATTATTATTATTATTATTATTATTATTATTATTCAGGCTCTAATTTTAACTGACTTTTTGGCATATTTCTTAGGTCATTATATTTTGGTAGAAACTGACTTAATAAACTACGGCTGTTTAACAAGCACTACATTTTGCTACAATTTTGTCTCACTCTTCTTTGCAAAAGATCTAATTACTTTTAAAAAGAGGGAAGACCTGAGTGAGTTTTCCACCAAAAAACTGAGCTTTTGGATTTGTCTTTGAAAAATTCACATATCTTTGCTCAATTATTTTCAGGTTTTCAGTCATGAATTCTGAAATGTTCCACCAGCAATCAGACTGATATTAATTATGTATGGAGAAAGTAATATCACCAAAAATAATATCACCAAAATCTTTATAAGTACTGGGAGAGAACTTATAAGAACTTTTTCTCATTTAATTTTTAAGAAATCGGCCAATGTATCATGTCATGTAGAGATGAACCAACTAACTTTAGGCAAATTAACAAGCATCACATTTAGGCTCAATTGTCTTTTTATTTCAGTGAAAATGTGGGGAAAAAGTTATTTCTTGACAAAGGTAAAAAGGACTTTTTGCTGAAAATCAGATCCACTTCTTTTGAAAAATCCACTTATTTTTGGTCAAAATGTTCAACAGGTGAAAGCTATGCCTTCACTTTGCCGTTAAGGACAGCTTTCTTTAAATGACTGCAGTGTGTGTACAGGAAGTCTGGGTATGGGAATATGCCAATTAAAGCTAACAGGGTTAGCACCGAGTTTAGAAACAACTTTGGCTCAGGGTCACTTAATCAAGCTAAACTTTTTTAACATTTTTAATAGTTTAGTGGATTGCAAAAATGATTAGTCTCAGTGACAAATTATAATGTTAACTCCTAACATCTCTAATGTTTATATTTCTAACTGAGCTGACCGCTTATTTCCTTTTTTCAAACCATGTCAGACACACAAGTCAAAGCATGAATTGGGTTTCATTTTGTAAAAAGTGAAGCGCTGCCTTACTACTAATGAGTGCCTGTAGGAAAACCATGAGATACATACCTTCCTGTTGAGGTGGACACAGATGTCAGCCCGCATGTCCTTAGGACAGATCGATAATACCTGGAAGACAGAGACACATAATTGCAATGTTGCAAACACAATCTTGTCTACAGAAATTCCCCCCATAAAATGTCATGACTATAAGACTAGGAAAACATACACTTGAATGTTATACTTTATGTTCCTCCAGAGTTGAAGGAGGGAACATAAACAGAGCCAGACATCAAACCCAGTTTAGTGTTGCAGAAGAGTGCTATCAGAGCAGGAAGTCTGATTTGGATAAATGACTACCTCTTCACTTTGCAACACACATACATGACAGATTCATGTTAGAAGAATTCATGTTTACTCCACTTATAACAAATGACTGCATGTCCCCAAGTAATATTAGACCTGTCTGATATTACTGTCTGAAGTTAAAAGACAGATACAAAGAGAGGAAGAGAAGCAGTTGTTTTAATCTAACAGCGGCAGGGAGAAAATGCACTTTAATGTGCGGTCGCTTTTATCAGATTCTTTTGCCTCTTTGAAGGCTGCTTGTTATGCAGGTAATGCATGGCTCCCAAATGGATTTTGCACTTTACAGGTAAGGTGATTATGTTCTGCTCGAGATAAGTTCGTAGCTCCATGGAAGTCAGGAGAAGACTCTGAGAAGATGAATTATCACAGTGGAATATTAAATCCAAGGAATGGTAGAATATTTAATGAACGTGTGCTTATTTTAATCTTTTGTTTCTCTTTCTCTTCCCGAATATTTAAAATCGAAATATAGAGCTGAGCTAACAGCTTGGTCTAAAGCTGCAAAACCTCAATTGAATCACATAAAGCTGGGCATGCAATGTTTGTTAACGACATGTTTCGTCCGTAGGACTTCTCACCGTCCCAAGCTCTCGCCTCAAAACCATGGGCACTCGAGCTTTCAGCTGCTCGGCTCCCAGACCCTGCCACTACACATCCGACAGTCTGATTCCATAACAACATTCAAAACCCAACTCAAAACCCACCTGTTCAAACTGGCATTTTCTTTATAAACTGTACCCTGTGTCCATTTCCTGTTGTTTGTCTTGTTTTACCCCGGCTGATATTTCACTAAATCCACTGTTTTAATTGTTTCCTATATTATCCCTATGCCCTGTAAGGTGTCCTTGGGTGCAATGAAAGGCGCCCCCCAAATAAAATGTATTTATTATTATTATTATGTTCAAACTGCAGAGACTCAGGAATGTAAGCTTGCATCACATGTTCAGTCTCCCCCAATCAGATTAAAAATAAAACAAGGAGGTTTCTTTTCTCAAACATCATTGCCACCAAACAAAGATGTCAAATCAATACTAAAATCTTCCATCAGCCTATCCCTTGACCTTTGACCTCTGAGACACACCTTCTCCGTATCGATGCCCTTGGACATGGACCAGGTGGAGACGATGTAGTCCATGACCCGCTCGCTGAGGCCCGTGGGGACCTGGTAGAGCTTCAGGAAGTCCCTGACGTTGTTGAGCATCTCGTGGTAGCGGTTGGTGTTGGCGTACATCTGCTGGAAGATGGTGGTCACGTTTCCAAAGATGGTGGCATAGAGCAGAGCTGGAGAGGAAGACATGGGACAGGGATGAAGACACACACACATTGATGCCCTCATAAATACTGGAGAAGAACAACAACCACTTACACTCTCTAACACCAAGGCAGCCAATCATACAAGTCAAGAGATTCTATATTTACACTGCAAATTGTTTAACTTTCTATTATATAATCAATAAGCAGAACTGAATACAGCATTTTTATTTGCATATTGATTTAGTCGATCGCTTTGCTCTGGAAACCCTACAAAAATGTATTTGTTTATGTCAGCTACTGTATATGAAATATTTGCGCAGTTGTACCGGGTAAAAAGTTAACAGATTACTACTAATTTGAACAAAATAACTTTTATGAAAGAGCGCACAGCAAGGTTTTGATGAGCAGGCATGAGATGGGGTCGGCAAATACTGACACTTTTTTTTTTATTAAAGATTTAAAAATCACTATTTGTAATTAATTCATGATATTCAAAAGGAATAGAGGAATCTGGAAGCACTTTTTTCAAACTTAAAGCCATGTGCTGATCCGCCAGCCTCCTCTGAACCCTGCGGCTGCTTCTCTGTTTCCATAGAGACCTAACTCGAAATAGTTCTCCCTCTTTTTTCCCCCATGGCTGCCTCCTCGCAGCTAATAATAATGACAAAACAAAGAGACAAAAGGATGTGTTTAAAGACTTTGAGGAGGTTGTGAGATTTGATGATGGTTCATGAGCGAATGAAAATAAGAGGGGGGGGGAGAGAGTGAAAGTGCACTCAAAGAAGAACATGTTGTACAGACACATTCTGAATATGAAAAGACTGATAACACTATAAACATGTCTTTGTTTGTGTCTTTTAAATTGTGCTTAAATGTATTTTAAAGAAAACTTGTTAAGTCCTCAATCATTTAGTGAATGTAAGCTTTGCCTTGAGGTGCTCTATTATGCTTTTGCTTCACTGGAGTGTGTTATTTTTATTTGCATGTACATGTAAATGGTCTGCAAAGGTTAAAATCCCAAAGATCCCTCCAGAGGAAGTTTCTCTGGAGTTAAAAAGAAATGGATTTGTGTTAAAAGGGAGGACATTAAAGAAAGAGACCCAGGAAGACATTGAAAGCCAAGAAAAGCGTGTTTGTATGCAAGTGTGAAATCTCACAGTAGCACTGAGAGTCAGAAATCAAAGAAATTCCAATGTTTGGATGAGAGTGAAAAACAGACGAGGCAGAGGGACAGTCACACACTGAGTGTCAGCCTGCAGATAAACACTGTTCCAGTTTAGTTCATTCAACGTCAGCAGACTTCCTGGACCCTTTAGGACCTTTCCGGGCCCCTGTCAGAAGGAACAGACAGACTCAAACAACTCTACCCATCTGGAACTGAAAGCTCAGAGACACAGCTCTCACCTCCGCCAAACAAAGACTCCTAATTGGGCGACTTGACGACTCAACGGTTGGCCAACGTCACCTCAGCCCAAAGAACGGCCAAGGTTGGACCCAACCATGAACTCTCTCAGTTGAGCCGAAACAGTCTTTCTGTGTTTGCCAGGATTTCAAGTAGAGGGTTCAAACCCTTTGGCGAATCTTCCTCTTATTTGGTCCTTTTATCCAAGTGAGAGGGAGGAAGATTGAACTTTGATGGCATGAAAACACACAAAGACACCTGGAGATGCGAGGTCCAGTTCTCTAACAAGGACAGCGTGGACAAGACACCAATCCTGGTGTGATGGGTTAGAGGGCAAGCTGTAGAAAAAGGGTTGTTTGCAATCCAATAGCAAACTGAAAGCTACTCATTAGCTAATTAGCAGCATTAGAACAAACCAGGTCAGGCTATTAGCACTTTGATATTGTAAAGCAGCTTGAGACAAATAACATAGCTCCAAATCGAACTTAATTCTTAGTAATAAAGTTACTACAGATTGAAAAAAGCTGGAAGTTCTTTGGATTATTTATTACAGCTATACTGAAACGACCTTTGTACTGCAAGTTATCTGACACTCCAAGGTTATTGACTTTTTAAGTAAGAAGCAAACAATTTAGCCAACCCATTAACCATTTAACACCACACAACAACAGACAACATTATAACTTATAAATGCAAACAATCATCTCAATCAAGTTTTATAGCTTAAGCTCTGATATAAATAAATCATATAAAAAAGCTGATTAAAGTGCTCAATGGTGCTGAACATGGTGAATGGTTTACAAAGTACAAAGATACATTACATTACATTTCATTTAGCTTTTATCCAAAGCGACTTACAATAAGTGCATTCGACCAAGAAGATACAAACTTGAGAAAACAGAATCATATAAGTGCATCAGGTTTCATAGGGCCAAAACATTTCAAGTGTACTCAACTGGCTTTAGAAAAGCCATTCCTTTATTAGTATATAAGTGCTTTGTTAGTAATTCTATCGCTCCAAGTGGATTCGAAAGAGATGTGTTTTCAGTCTCTATAGATAGAGCTATAGAACTCCTTGAACCTGATAAGGAATGTGTTTTGCCAACCCATCAACCAATAAACACCACACAACAAAGCATAGAGCAAGAACAAATTAAAATAAAATCACACTCGTATCTCAAGCTCTGTTTGAAAGGAGATGGATGATCAATACACAACAAAGTAATATAAAGCAGATCAAAGTGCCCAATGATGCTGCAAACGGTTCACCAAGCACAACAACACATTCTTTTGAACTGCTTGAGTCAGATAAATAAAAAACGAAACAGCACAGTATACTGATTGGACTTGGTCTATAAAAACCCTTCTCTGGTCCCACATAGAACATTAAGACGGTCCATCCAAAGCACTCAGGCTACAGTTTATAGCTGTCATTGCAATACTATATTTGAAATCTGATATGTCCCCTGTGGCTTTATTTCTTTTAATATGCCTGTCTTCCCCCTCTGGTGGCCGGGGAGAGATGGGCTGTAATATAGGGGGGTGATGATGAGTACAGGGAGCAGATCAAGAGTTTATTCCTATTTGTTGATGGTGCAGCCTGGGGGGTGGAAAGGATCAGAAGCTGTCAAATAGAGGCTCAAATCAAGAGAGTGAGGAGAGTCATTGCAGGAAGTTTTCTCTCCAAATGTACTGTGACACTCAAAGGAAAGTATATTAATAACATATTTTGGTTTCATTGGGTGGTTGGTCTATGTCGGCCTCCTGACGCTGCAGTGATCTCATCTCAGTGACGGCAGCAGCTTTTTCTTCCTACACGATGCTAACCGCTCATTAGCGCAGTGTTCCTGTGTGTAGAGACCACATGTCGTCACATCGAGTGGGCCAGTCTGTGGCGTACTTCTATCTGATCTTGAATGCGTTGCTTTGCTTTTTTAAGCCACAGCAAGTCCAGCAACTATATATTTAAATCAAACGGATATTGCTATAATAAAAGCAGATGTGCATCACTTCCTGTTTGTGGGGGGGATGTTTTTTTACCTGAGCAGACACCAATTCACCATTGTTGTTAAGAATAGCACATGACTAAAGGGACTAGCGTCATTTTATTCTGTGAAAGCAAGCAGCATTTGAATCACGAGATGTAATGGCGAGGTATGTCAGGGGGAAATTAGCAGCAAAATAATATGTATATTGTCCTGCACGCTCTTCTTATACATGAGTTGTTGTTGTTGTTGTTGTTGCTTCCCACCTTATTTGGCATTTACTTTAGTCTCATGTTCATGTGTGTCTGCTGTTAACACATGCACACATAAACAAACAGCAAAAGAAATGTAAATATAGTTTTTGCCATCTGATGTTAAATAGATTTTCCAAAGATCATAATCAGAAGCTGTATTCTACATCTGTTGTTATTCATGGCATTTTGTTGTTCCTTCTCACTGCATTTGGCATTTCCACTTGTTTCATATTTAATTGGTGTCTGCCGTTGACACTTGCCACATGCAGTTTTATTTTTCCTCCTCCCACCTTCTCTTTATTAATACATCAATTTCTCCACCCCTTGAAAGTTTAGTATGTATTTCAGTACATTATGGACATGTTGGTGCTTGGATTTACCCTTTTGAAGGTCTGATATTAATCTTAGAGAGGCCCTATTATGCTTTTTGAGGTTTCCTTTTCCTGTAGTGATAGGGCCCTTTTAACTTCTCCAAATAAGGAAACGGTACATTTTGTGTTCATCAGAAATAATCCGGCATCTGTCTGAAAATCTGTTTCTATGATGCCTTACAAATCCTCTTTCTATTTCATATTGGATGGTTCACCTCGATTCCCTTCGCTATTCTTCTGTTATTGCTTTTATATAAAGGGGAATAGTTGAATTGAGACAGCACTGGATGATGAAACAAAACTACACATGCACAGAGCAACATTTTAACATTGAATTGGTGTCAAAAAAACAATTTAGAGCTTAAATCCTCAGAATTATTTCATGTGATATAATGGAACAGTGTCATGTCAGTCCATGTCATATATTTTACTTTTATGCATTTCAGTAGATCTGGTGAAAGAGTGTGGGATGATTTGTCAGAGTGACTGAGAGTGAGGGACAGAAAGTGTCAGTGCCTGGAGCCCAGACACCCAGAAAATATCAATCACTCCGACATGAAGAGACAGCCAGCACACACAAACACCCTCACATACAGTAGTTATCACACAGACTCAGATACAACGATATAGAAACACAGAGCTCCTTACAGAAACAAAAGCACACAAAAGATCTTGAGTTTATATAATCTGTGTCTAAACTGAGAAAAATATAAATTATTAGATGTTTTATAAACAGTAAATTGAGGCGTTTTTATAAATGCAAGTCAGCGACGTGTTAAGCCAAGCTATGAACTAACTTCAAGGGAAGGGGAAAGCAGCTAGCCCCCATTTAAACAAAAAAGAAGAACATATAATAAAAAAAAAAAAAAAACACCTTTCAGGGATCCCCAAAGTATTTTTATCAACACATCCAAGTTTGGTTTAGAATCAGGAAAGTAAATGGAGCTACAGATTTACTGAGGACAGACATGATGTGATGAGCAGTCAATGCTTCCAGCTGCTTGTGGGCAGAGATAGAAACACAGGTCACT